CATTAAAAAACCCCAAATACCACCCAATAGCCAAAGCTGTCTGGGCAGTTCACAATAACTTAATACAGCCATAACATGTAAAATAAAGTATAAAAATTTAAATGGTTAAAAGTACAGTATAAAATGCCAGTTCTGGGGTCAGGTTAGGGACAGGATCATAACAAAACTGTAACCTTAATAATCTTTATTTTATAAAGCAGGATTAAGCAGTAAAGGGTCAATTCTCTTTGATACTGACACTGAGAAGCTTAGCCCTCCCTCCCTCCCTCCCTCCCTCCCACCCATTTTTATCCTATCTTTATGTGACTCAAAGTCATCTAGTGAGCTTTAGAACCAAGTGGGGACTAGAACCCAGATCTCCTAAGTCCCAGTCCATTGCTCTAATCCTAAACCACCCTTGCTCTGATTTGGTTTTTACACATATATTTTGACATGCAGCATCCTGACAACTTAGCTAATATGTCTAACATTGGTTGCATTGGTTCTGGAAAAGACTACATGGGTAAGAGACAAGGGGTTCCTGATGACAGCATGCTGAGTGTTTTCCTCTGTTGTAAGCAAGCTCATGACCTACATGCCCCCTACTTTAATGCTATTAGTAAGATTTGCCTTCATGTAAGTAAGAAAACAATGGAAATATGGATGAATGCAAATGCCCTTTTGATCTCCATGTCACCACCCAAGTCAAACAATGCATGACATAATCCATGAATTAGCCAGTTTAAAGGCTTGGTGAAGCATGCATTCTGCAAGAGAAGTCCATAGGTTAAAGCATTATTAAGATATCCTTCATGACCCCTTGTTCTAGGAACCTCTACTTCTTTGTTCCATGGAAGTGTAGGTGTTTCTTCACCCAGCCCAAATGCAACCAAAGAGTCAGAAAACTCTGTAAGCAGTGCTTTTTTTGTAAGAAAAAAGGTGCCGGAACTTGTGAAATTATTTACCTTTCGCATGTAGTCAATCACTGTACACACACTCACACACGTCAGTTGTGTAATGAAACATAACGGTTGCCGCCCGCAGTAAACACTCAGTGCGCGACCACACAACCAGTCACAAAGCGAGCAGCACCATCATATCCAGCGTGGACGAAGTATGCATGCATCGGACTCGACAGACAAGCAGCCCGCATGCACCATTTTAACGATTTTGCCGCCAACCTGCTATCCTCGACAGGGCAATTCAAATCCACATGGACCAAACATCAAATTTTCAAAAGTTACTTTTAAAATTTGGAAAATCTGTTGAAAAAAGGTGCCGGAACTCCATTGTGGTGCGTTCTATGACAAAAACAGCACTGTCTGTAAGGCTCCTGCTCACTCTTTGGAGACTTTGTTTAACCAATTCTGAATAAACCTAAAGTCATCTCCAGTATGCATCTAGCCTGAACTCTATGGCTGTCCTTGACTTTGACCCCCTTTAAAAGAGAAGGACACTTTGTTTTGACTGAAAAATACTCCCCGGGTTTGTTTGGCACATGACCAACTAGCTGGTCTCATCTCCATGCTGACTGAGGTTTCATTTCCTAGAGGGACTTTTCTGTTTTAGCAATCTCAGACATATGATGATGCAGGAGAAGCTCTGGCATGCTAGTTTCCTCATGGCTCAAGTCCTCAGAGTTTGGGGGTAGGAATGTGACTTCCCCCAGATGAATCTAAGCTGATGCCTGGAATCTTCCTGGAGTGAGTCCTGGGGATGTGGAAATCCATGATGCCTTTCCATGGCCAGGTCCTCCTGCTGTAGCATGAAATGGGGCTTCTTCAAAGGCTTAGGATCCTCTAAGGATGAAGATTCAGGACCTTCCATGACTACTTTGAATTTTTCCTCTTCCTGTCTCCTAATCTTGCTTTACACATATCTGTTCTACCCCTCATGCAACCAGAACTCCTGTGCTATCTTTCCATTTCCATTGTGCCTTTGATGCTCATTATTTGGCAAATAAGTCTGATCTCTATCCATAATTGTGATTATTCACTGTGATTATAGGAATAATGAAATACAGTATAGACAATTAAATATATACATTTCTTATTTTACATAGTTAAAGGTATGATTATATAGTTACATGATTGCTGTCAGTATTTTCCTTCTGTTGACAGTCATAATAGATACTTTTTCAGTTTTCAAATTTATTTCAATACCACTGAATTGGTAAAATGGAGTCTTTTTTTGTATGCCCATCAAAGAAAAGCTCCTGGCATAGAAAAATAGGTATTCACCCTCTTTATGCTTTTCAGGGGTCCTACCTGTCTGGTATTCATTATTAGTTTTCTGAAAATCAGAAGGGGGGTTACAAGAACTAATTAACTGTAAGACAAAGGACGAAGCAATTCATAAAGCCTAAACGTACATTCTCAACATGGCATTTGATCCCAATATATGAACTACAGTTCCCATTCGTCTTTCCTTCAGCATAATGCCTTAGATATGGAGCTGCAATGATGATGTTCTTATATAAATGTATGATGGGGAATGTTTACTTTTTTGAAAATATCAGTTGCATTATAATTTAGGTTGCTATGTGCTGTCTTACATATTTCTCTGCCTCTCATTAGTTTTGAAAAATATGAGAGTATTGTCTAAATTATTGCCTGTAACTTATGGTGCATGAAAATCTAATACAGCAACTAAGATGTATCTTTCTGTTTATCCAGACTGTGGGCTTCATGTGTCTGCTTTCTGTGATTGACGAGAGTATTATTGTAGGGCATATGCATACAAGAGTTTTATAGGCCCTCGTTCATTCCTGCAAACCACATGGAATTATGATATACTGCCAGTATTGCATAGCTGATGTTGAAAATTATGGTCTCTCTATAGATGGCACTGTCTAAACCAGGAAAGGATATCTGCTGGTGCACAGTCCATCACTGTTCTCTTATATTTTGTATTAAAGTGCTGAAAACACTTTGTCAGGTACAAACCCACAAAATTCATTGTAATGGTACAGTCTCAAGGAGTGAATGAAGTTCAGAGATCAATGTTCTGGAGAGACTGGTGAAAGGGGAGCCAGAGAAGTTGGCAAGGACATAATCAGAGCCAAACCAGGGTGAGGAATTGGCAATGTGTCCCATCAAAGTGATAGGCAATGGTGTAGTAGTACATTTTGTAGCACGGACACTCCTCATAATATTTGTAGCTCCCATAGCCACACCCCCAATAAGGGCCCAAAATTGCAGCAACTGTAATGATTCCGATCAACAAACCCATTCTGGTATTTTTCACTTCTACCATGACAGGCTGTTCAAGACCAAGCTACCCAAATGGAGTTCCCATCCATCTTGTGGGTTTCCCTTGGGCAACTGATTGGCCACTGTGTGAACAGAATACTGGATGAGATGGACCCTCTAGATGGACCCTCTGATCCAGCAGGGCTCTTCCTATGTTTTAAAAATACTTTGCATCACAAAAGGGAACAATATATTGTTGTGGTGGGAATTATTTTCCACCCCACTGCCTAAAAGTTGTAGGTAAACTCAGACAAAATGGGGAATTCTGTGGTGATGGTGGTGGGTCTGGCTGATGATGTTAGCTAATCAAAAAGTGCCAGGGCTCCATCTAGTTCCACTATATACTACTAGCAATAAGCACAAAACAGGACTAAGAATGACTACTAAGAGTATCCAGGATTTCATCCTCATAGACCTGTGGTAGGTAACACATACTGTTTGAGATGTTTTGGTCTGCACGAGCCCATGTCAGCATAGGAAAGATGGATGGGTGCATGTACACACACAGTGAGATTGAGAGAGAGAAACACCTACATGTGTGAATCATGTTCTGTGCAACAAAAGTTTTTTGAATCCCAGTCAGTATCAGCTCCCTGGGTTGGTCAGTGTTCAGTGCAGGCAAGAGTTCTATATCATCTCTAAAGATAGGAAGTCTGACCCAAATCAAGTCTGGTTCAAACCAAACTCTTGCATGAGCAAGTCTTTTAAAAAGTACTAAAATGAGGACTGCTGCCAAGCCAAGGGGCTCTATAAGGAGCATCGAGACATTACCCATACACATGCCTGTGAACACTCCCTGCTCAAACTGGACACTGATGTCCCTCTTGGGAATAACAGGTTCTAGGTCAGACTCAGCCTTTGCTTGAGCAACAGCCTACCAGGCCTTTCGGTCTACAAGTGAGCTTTTATTTCCTTCCCACTTCCAGTGTCTTGCTCCCCATGTCCTGTCTTCAGCTTCTCATGTCAATGTTGGGCAGTCATAGCCCTCCTCATATTTGGTCTACAACACCCATCTTCCATGGCAGCATCACTGCTTGCCATTCTAGAGGGATCCTCAAATTCTAGTAGCAGGAACATTGGCAGTAGTTGAGGAAGGGACATCTTTTGTGAGTGCAATTGTTTCAGACCTAGCTTCAGTATGGAAGAACTGTGTTTGTTACTGGGGTAGAGTGAAAATGAGTGTGAACATCACTATTCTGCATATGATTTTAAGAAATAATGCAACAGATACTGATTACTGCCAACTGCCTCTTAAGCATGAATGGGATCACCTTACCTCAGAGAGGGCTAGGTTAAGAAAGATATATAACATTCCATTATTGAATAGCATTTGATTAAAATATTATTTAATTGACTTTCATAGAGAGATACTGCAGCACTTTCATTCTGGTTCATATCCCTCTAACATTATGGTTGATACATATGATTGCTGAAATCATTAACCATGATTCATAATGTAATGATGACTACTGGATAAGGTAGTAACTACAGAACCTTGTTATAATTCTTTATTATAGCGATATTTTAAGGGGCTTACACATGACTGTGGAGCTAATCACACTAATGTTTAAGTGTTCTTCATGATTCAAATGAACACTGGAGTTAACCATGATTAGTTTGCCCCGCAAGCACACTTTAGCTTTAATAATGGCTCTAATCTCTTTATTAAGAGTCCAAACTAATCCTATTATTGTTGATGTTATTGTTATAAATTGATATTACATAGATAATTAGAAGAGGTGACAAATGACTTTCTAATTGTTTTCTTAGATCATAGTGGAGGGCACTGTTGGTGACGGCTTCACTGGTGACATTGGAATTGATGACCTCTCTTTTCTGAATTGTACACTTTTCAATGGTAAGGAGAAATGTAGACCGTGTGACCAAATGGGGGTTGCAATCAGCATGTGGTTTCCACGCAAATGAGATGCTTTTCTCAAACCTCAGTTGCTAAAGAAATGGCTAAGCGTTAATCAAGAAGTTACAGAGCTGGGGTTATGATCAGACATCTAGTCTGTCCTCCAGGTTTGTACAGTAAATCCAGAGGTAGATCACCCCAGCATATGGCTGTCCAGCTTCTGCTTGAATACCATCAGTGGGGTCCCCCGAGTAGCCACCCACCCTGGCAGGAGCTCCCTCACATGCTTTGCTTAGATATGAAGGAATAAAAGAGTGCTGTGACAGAAGGAGAGGACTGCTACTTTTTTAATATTAAAAAATGATGGCATTTGAGACACACAAGAGCTCACTGCAGCCCTTTGCGTTTTCTTAAGGAAACTTGCCATTCGATGTCACAACTCCATCAGGAACATCCATCCCTGTGACATTTCCTATGAACAACTGTACAGAAAATGAATTCATTTGTCAAACCACTGGCCAATGCATCAATATCACTCGGAAGTGTGATTTCCGACCTGATTGTCCAGACAAATCTGATGAGTCATCTTGTGGTAAGCATACTTGTTGTGTACTATGATAACATTGGATGAACCTGACTTTTTCGTGGTGCAGATTGCTGTTCTGTGCTCACATCTTGGTATCTGTTCTCGGTTTCTCTTCACGATGCCTTAAAAGCCTAGCTTAATCTTATTACATGGAGAAACTGGTGAATGTGCTTTAGGATTTGCCATGGTGAATTCCCATCCCAGAGAGTTAGAAGAAATGCCTCCTAGTATGCATTGTGCTTTCATTATTCAATTTTTGAAAATAAATATGGTTGTCCAAGTTTAAAGAAAAAATAACAAGGCACCTGTGCACTAGTTGGCATGCAAAATACTATGGAAATTAAGAACAAAGAGAACATTTGCCATAGCACCAAGGAATTGTAAATATGTCACATTAAATTACCTCATTTGGGTTTATATATAAGATAAACACTGTCTAGTCATTGTTAATTACATAGTATTTGAAAGACCGAAGTTAATAGCTCTGAACAATCTCAGTCTAAAATCTTTACTTTGACACGATAGGTCTCTATAGTCCCATAATGTTTAATGAATTAAATGTATGCTTTATGTTTCATGGTTGTTGAATACTTCTGGAGTGTAATGGCATTAAAAACACGAGGACACTGCAAACTTCAAAACATTTTATGGCTTTTTGGATTGAATGTATGAATTGTTCATTTGTTCAAGACAAAAGCCTTCATACCAGTTATCAGATGTAGATACATAACAAATATCCCAGGGTGTCACCAAAACAATGGGTGGCATTAATCATTTTAGCAGCAGTGAAAGTAAAAGGATACAACCCTATTTTTATCACTATTGTTCCTGAAAGACAGCTTCTCTCTCTCTCTCTCTCTCATATGCCAAAACCAATTTGTTGGAAGTAGGGACTTCTCAGGTAGATCTATTCAAGGAAAATTCCAGAAGACAGTGTGGCTAATTTGCTACCTTGGAAGAGATACAAATTTTTAAAAAATCTATAGTAGGGGTGGGCAACATACGACAATTGAAATGTTTTGGCTTATAATTCCTTAAATCATTTCTGCATTTATATCCCCAACTTTCTTCCTCTTATATAAGCTGTAAATGGCTTGTATAGTCCTCCTGCTGCCCTTTTTGCACTCTCAACATGTCTGTGGTTAAACTCAGGTTAAACACAGAATTCTTGAGTGGCCCAATGTCACATAGGGAGTTACATGGCCAAAGGGGGACTAGATACACTATTCCCATGTCAGCAAGTCCCCCTCGTAGATGCAACCTTAATGTGGTGAAGGGGGTTGAGAGTGTCAGGGGAGCCAAGAGGAGGCTAGACTCTCTTTTCCAAGGTGAGCCACCCAAGATCAAAGTGGAGACACCAGACTAAGAGGCAACCACCTTCTTCAGGAAGAACAGTCACACCAGCAAAAGAGAATGGATATCTCTAATAATGATGGGGATGGAGAGACTTGCGAAGGGCAGCTACTGTGCAGCAGCAGTAGCTGAAGGCATCACTGACAGGATCTTTCACAGACAATGACAATGATGCTCAAGCTAACTCAGGTTAGTACTCGGCAGGAAATGGCAATGATAAACCACTGCTGAATATTCTTACCTTGAAAACCTTATGATGAAGAATCCAAAATGAAACAAAAGATAGTGCCAGAAGTGAGACTACCAGGTCAGGAAGCACTTGGTGAGTTACTGAGGAACAGCAAAGGGCAACTATGAACAACACTGTCACTAATGATGCAACTTAATCAAACCTGAAAGGAGGTCCGGTGACTGACATGCACAGAAGTATATTGTCCATCCACTGAACAGATGCAGTCACATTTGTGAAAATATCTTAGGAACCTTTCTGAAACCTCATTGTATGATATACATAACTGCCTCCCCCTCTGTTTCTGACGTCCAGGGTAGAATGCCATTGCACATGTAGCAAAAATGGCATCATCCAAACACAAGGAGGGGATATTAGTCTCACAAGAGAAATTTTAAAAAATAAATCTGATAGAAGGAAAAAAACAAAACAAAACCTCTTACATTGTGGACCCCATAAGTAGCCCAATGCCACTGACTGTTTGAGAGACACGAGAGAGAGAAAGAATGGAATGGAGTTGCCTGGAAGAGGGCATGGCTGACTGACTGGCATATTAAACAAGAACACTCTGTACATGTTATTGCAGGTCTCATGCATTAGATGCTAACCAGAATGACCAATTTGATCTCAATACAAAACCTGAAATTCTTCTGTCTCTGAAAGCTACTGAGAACATTCATAAAGCAATTAGTTCCTTATAAAGAAAGACTAATTAAAGTGCCTCTGACAAGCAGTTAGCTTCTCATTTCTGTATTTCTTATAAGGTCAATATTCTTTTTATTTTCTATAGCTTCAGATACTTGTGACTTTGATGATGGGAACCTGTGTGAATGGTATCATCCTGATACCATCATGACAACAATGGCTTCAACCCATACTGTTCATGTGTTCCACTGGAGCCTTGGAAAAGGAGCAAGCATGCACCCAGGCGAAGAGAACTACAGGCCTTTCGTGGATCATACAACGTGAGTATAATGCTCTAAAGTCTATGTTTTAAAATAAATTCCACTGTATTGATTCAGTCAACTATGAAATATTTTAATAGCGAATGTGCTGCTTCTTTGATCTGCTTAATGTAATTGAGGTAGATCATTCCAAACATCTGGAAACAGAAAATAGAACTTAGTGGCATCTTTTTCATAATGTTCTAAATATTAACATTAGGAATTCTAAATGGAACTTGGTGAATGGGCACAAATAGAATCAACCATTAGTATAAATCAGCGGTGGTGGACCTCTGGCACGCGAGCCAAGTTGCCCCAGCAGTCAAACATCGGATAACAGCACACATAGGGGCCATGTGCATGCTCGGAAAGGAGGAGTGGTGCCAGGCGATGATGTCAAAAGCTGTGACTCATTAGCCACAACTCGTCTGAGCTTTCACATGGCCAGTCAGTGCTCTGCCAAGGATATATATATATTTGCTTGGACTGGCTGTGAGTTGTTTTTTCTAAACTAAAAACCTCAGTTTTCAGGTTTGATTGCAGTGTTGGCACTTTGCGATAAATAAGTGGGTTTTGGGTTGCATTTTGGGCACTCAGTCTGTAAAAGGTCCACCATCACTGGGTTAGGGTTAGAAAAACGAGGTGTCCTGGCATGATTTTGATCCTTGGAATTGGTTTAGAATGGGCATAAATGATGAGCTGTGCAGAAAAAGCTACTCAAGGAAGGCTTTTCCAAAATCCCTCTCTTTTCAATGGAAATTCCACCCTGTATTAGAGTTAGGGATGTGCACCAGGGTAGGGTTAGGGTTAGAAAAACGAGGTGTCCTGGCATGATTTTGATGGTTGGAATGTGCTTAGAATGGGCAGAAATGTTTTGCTGTGCAGAAAAAGCTACTCAAGGAAGACTTTTTCAAAATTGCCCTCTTTTCAGTGGAACTTTAGCCGTATGTTAGGGTTAGGGGAGTGCAGTAGGATGGTATAAATTGCTGACCTACAACAGCAAGAGGTTGTACCTGGTGGCCTTCTTGGTCACTTCCAACTCTACTATTCTATGATTCTTACAGTGGTTGTTCATTCTTCTCTTTTAAAGATTAATACATGCAATGCCTAGATCTTCCAAGGTAGGGATATACAATGCAGTGCCCACAGTCACCAATGGATCCCCAGGAACATTTCTTCTTCTTGCAAAATTATAATACTTTTTTTCCTGGAAGCTGGGATCACTTCAAAGCAAAGAGAGGGCTTCTAGTTGCCATCTTCATTTTCCAAGGATGCATCTGGAACATGTGGTAGGGCTTCTTTGCAAAGAAAGATGGCAGCAGGTAGGTAGTTGCAGGCTGATCCTTCCTCTGCAGCATATCCAGCCACCAGAGAGAGCGAGAGAAAGGGGACTCCTGCCTGCTAGGCTGGGTTTGGGGGTCAGCTAGGAAAGGCAGCAACAAGCTGTCTGGGAGCTCAAGCGAACCAACATGGAGGTGATAGGGAGAGCAGCAGAAAGTCTGTGTGGGTTGCTGAAGCCAGCTAGAAGGGACCTGGAGATCCTGGGAAAGTGGTGTGCTTGTATATCTAAATTAGTGCAAATGTGTGAGGTGGGGAGAGAAAGCGTTTAGGATGATTTTGAAGGTTCCTGAAAGAGTGTATTTTTCATGTGCTTACAGTGAGGAGCAGAAGGGAGGAATATGAATGCATGTATGTCCACATGCTATAGACATGCTGTGTGCATGCATGAGAGAAAGACAAAGCATAGATCACATCCAAAGTATGGGAGAAGTAGAGGCAGTTGGAGTGAAAAAGGAGAGAAAAAGAATTCCCATTCTTTGAAATAGGGTCCTGTTGGTGCTGAAAACTGTGGATTCCAAAAAGCTGGTTAGTCTGTTGGGGCCCATACCTCACCTCTGCCTTGTACTTAGTCTTTTACATAGGTCACTCGTGCTTTTCCATACTAGAGATGTATCACAGCCCTGTGGAATGCATCCTTCTCATGCTCAGCCCTGTCTTGGAAAGCAAGCCAAGCCGAGAGGGACTCCGCGAATGCTTGTAGAACAAAGTAACACAACCAGCAACTTTCTTCCACCTCACATGCAGCAGTGCAAACAAAGTCTCCTGCACATGGTGTGGAAGAGGGACACTGCTGCATTTTTATGTGCAGCAAGATCGCATATGATAGCTTGCCTATGAATGGAAGGCCCTGTGATTATCCATCAACTGAACTATGGTTCATGGCGTCAATTTCTGTGCATATCCCATTTACTAGACACCACCTTATCCATATTATGGCCAGAAACAATTGTACAACCCTTCCTATGGCTTCAAAATGTGATGCTAGAGCAGGCATGTTATGTTGCTGTTTCCCAAGTGACTTGAAATTTTTCTCTAATGGACAATGTTATTAGTCAAATGTCACTGGTGAAATTGTTGCTCACTCTTAGGAGGACATATGGTGTAGCCCAATGGTCAAAAGCAGGAAGCATGAGGTGTCATATAATCTCATGCTCTTTCTGAGGGGAAGAAATTGAAACTAGTAAAGCACTTGCCAAGTGAAGCCACAATTTCATATTGTGCCAACCCACAGAAGGGTTGCACAGCTGTAAATAAATCAAGCCAGCTGTGATGAGGCACTGTGCTGGAATGTCTGCTTCCATCCTTATTACTTGAGAGTGTGATCGTCTCCTATTGTTTCCTTTTCCTCTCAAACTCAGAGGATTTATGAAGGAATGTTAATGAGATGTGCTTTGTTTTGGATGAGCCACAGAAGAATTGTGAATTAATTTCAGCTCTTTGTCAGACACAGTCAAACCTAAAATATGTTTGTGTGTGCATGTGCAAGTGCAGAGAGAGAGAGAGAGAGAGAGAGAGAGAGAGAGAGAGAGAGAGAGAGAGCAGCTCCAGTAAAGACATTTTAGCTAGTATTCTGTAACTGTTGTCTTACCATAAAAATATGGAACTCTTCATCCCAAGTGCCTGTGATTTGTCACGCTATTTTAATCAGGTGGTGAGAAATTTAAGACCTTTTGAATGATCAAAGGGGGATCTCTGACTTGAAACAGTAAAATCAAAGACATTATGGAAGAAACAAGGATCATATTACTTACTGTTAGAACTATAATATGTTTAGTTTGACTGCCATCAGGGTTTTCCCAGTACCCTGTCTTGATAAAAAGTATGTTTATGTAAGATTTTGGATTAGATTTACTTGCATTTCTGTAGCACTTCAATCATAAAATATCTCGAAAAGTGATAACAGCAGTTTATGAATTTGCCCACAAATTGAAATCTGCTTCAAAGACAGAATTGTGTTGCATGGAATCAGAGACATGACACACACGCAAAAAGAAGGACCAGCCACGTAGCTGGAACCTTGGAGCTTCCTGCTTCCTTTGGCTAGATGGTAGGAAGTTTGGGACTTCTTAATTGGTCTACCCTCTTTGCCATCTCCTGACCAGTTCCCATGGTAGTTTTGAAAAGTCTTTCTCCCTTTGCAAGGTGGGCTGGTTCTCACACTCTGACTGAAAATTTTCACTAGGTAACCATGTGACTGGCCATTTGCCCATCTCTCCCCTTCCACCTTTTCCTCAGAATTGGATGAATCTATCTGAGGAGATAAGGACATGAGAACTGCAGTAGCTTTCTTCCGATCCTTTAATATATTCACCATTAATACAATTATTGCTGATTTGCATTATAATTACCACATTGTAAAAGTGCTGCAATTGTTTTCGAGATAATTCTGCTCTCTCCAGCACCAAACCGAAAGTAAAAAGGTTGCTTATTAGGAGAAAAGGTGGCACAGCTTCTCCTCCTGTAGATTGTGCTACTTATACTTCCATTTGGAATAGTGAGGATTGGTGCGGTTGTGATGTGGCCATTAAGTTCTGATGGATTTGCCCAAAGCTTAGTTGATTCCCTGGCTGTTTCTTGGCCAGAATGTTATGACCATGCATTCCAGTGCACTGACCAGTTGCAATATATGCTTCCAATATTGACATCCAAACTTGGGCGTTTTCTAACAGCAAAACCACAGTCCAGTGTGGGAAGAGAGCCTGTAACCAACACAAACACATTCAAGCAGCCTTTTATAATGCATAAAAATACTGTCCTTTCAAAATAAGATGCATTTGCTGTGCCATGTCCGTTTCTTATATAATGTGCTGACACTACACTCCTCTTTGTTGACAAAGTCCTATATGGTGCCACAGTGTTGCCCCGATGTCACAAGAGGGTGATGCTCCCGTACTGACCCCTGCATTTCAGGCTGCTGCACCCTGTTCCTCATCTCCTGGGCTCCACTTTCCTCACATTTCCCATATCACTGTTCTCCAGAATTCCAGTAACACTTCAGCTTCCAATCAGCTTTTACCCCTCATCTTTCTTTCTCTTCTCTCCAACGGCCCAGTTTTTTGCAGTTTCACTGCCTCCCTCCCCGTTCTTTGTATTTTCCTAGCAACGGTCGCCAGGCACTGTCCATACCCTCTCCCTTTCTGTGTTACATTTCTTTCAATATCAAATTCCCAACTTTCTAGGCAAAAAGTCCCCACAAGGCAGGTTACCAGATGAATACACATTTTGAACCATATCAGAGAAACAACAGAAAAAAGAAAACTCTCAGGAAATCCATTAAACCTGGAACAGCAGCACTGAAAAATGTACCACATCAGACCAGCAAAGATAGATTGCAGATAGTCTGCTGCAGGGGTGAAAGAGATGGCTTGGATGCATATATGGAAGATACGCCTGGATCTCCCATTTTGAGTCATGCAGGGGCCATGTGCCCACATGCTTGGCTGAAGACTGGCTGAAGAAGGCAGGGATATTGAGTCCTTTGCCTTATGTCAGCTTCTTCCCCGTGAATAGCTGCTCTTGCCGATGGATAGATCATGTCTGTGGTGTAGAAGTGTCCCTAAGAAATTATGATCATTTGTGGGCCACAATGATGTGATGTCTAGAAAAAGCAAAAAACAGGGATTAATGCTGTGAACTAAAAATTGTAGATCAGAGCATATTCAAAATTTAAAAGCAATTTT